CCCGGGTTCAATTCCCGGCCGGGGAGAATCTTTTGCGTTCTACACATATGGTTCTTGGACCATTAATAGAATTTCGTTTACAAGAGAGTCAAGGTAATCAGAAAGCTGATATACTATATTTTTCTTGACAACTAGAGTAGCTAAAATGTGAATATTTGGCCTACTTGCCCAATAGCAAGAGTTAGGCTGTTAATCACAGGGAGCTAAACGTAGTAAAAATACATCAAAAAGGTCAAAGTAAATTTGCCAGGATTGGCAAAAACATCTTAGTTTCTTCCAGCACTCTTTGATCGCCTTGCAAAAATAACTTCGACTCTGACAAACTAGTTTGTTACGTTTGATCATTTGATTTAGTAAAGACGCACATTGATTATTATAAACTAAAATTGTTTTCAAGCCCATCTTGCCGAAAATGTATTTATTAATCTCAACTTTACTGCTTATATTATTGTCAGTTACATCAAATTCACCTAAGGGTCAAACAGATGCGAGATTTAGGTAAGTATAATGAAATACAAGCGCTGAAGATTTCAATGGTTAGAATACCTGATTTGAAGGATAAAACGCGATTCTCATTCCCACGAATTCGAACTCTTCGGACATGGCCGGGAACTCTTTCCGAGCCAACATTATGGACATTACGGCTACAATGAAGAGCCTGGACTTGACAATTTGCATGGACTTCGAAACATTCTCGGCGCGATAATTGGTTAATTGTAAATATTCATGTATATTTATCTTGTTTATGGAAACATCTCAAAAAATAAATATTTGTTTCATGCTTTGATGAGAAAGGGACGATTGCTTCTTTCGTGCATCTTTTGTCGTTTTCTTGCTATAGGAAAATAAGGAAGAACAACGACCAAACACATCAATTTTTGTGTTACATCGACTTTAGATCTCTCATGGTAGAAGGGACGTTGGAAAAGTTGTGGGGCTTGTGAAAGAAATTTTGGTGACAGAAAATCATAACTAGATCGCTAAATCAGAGATGTAGAATAATAATGATGAGGTTAGGGATGAAAATTCTATGGGCAGTAAAGCTATCCAAATCAAGTATCAAACATCGATTTTATGAAGCTCAAAATATCATTTTGAATTTCAGATGCTCAAAGAAACATTTCTCTATCCAAAATACATTGGACCGATTTTGGCCCATCCTTGTTTCGTTGTGCGCACACACTTTTAAAGATATTTTTTTCCGGAATTTTATGTCTTAGATTTGTTTCCATATTTGTTGTGGGAAAGAAACAGGTTTTCTCATCACTATCAAACGTCAGAACTGGCAATCAACCCAAGGGTAATTGATTGATAGTTCGAATCAATTCGTGTGTGAAACTCCAAATACAACATAATGAAGTTCAAGCAAAACTGTAGAATTTTCTTATTACTGATTTCATTGGCAATTACTTCCGAACTCGCAGGAGCAGCAGAAAGGTATGTAAGTTAACCGTAACTATATCTAGCATAATGTGAGTTTTATGTTCAGGGTTTTGCGAAAGAAACGAGAAAACTATGGTCCTTTCGAAGGTGGTCCCGGATACGGTCGTGCCATCTTTCCTGCCTCCACTGCTAACCATGGCAACATGTGGGGTACCGGTATAGGGACGAGCGTGAACCTTCGGCTTGGTGGTTATAATAATGGATTTTTGCTCAATAATAGTGTTGTGACTGTTTCCGATATGGTTTTGACTATTTTGTATGTTCTCTGTGCTTTGTTGATTTTTTGATAAAATTTTACATTCTGATCAATCTACAGAATTTTCTTTTAGCAGGCAGGAAAATTTTGGGAAAACGGCTAAAGCCTATGTGAAACGCGTAGTTGACTTTCCAGCGAGTGATCGTACGCTATAGCTTCACGTAATTGCGTATGGCTTGAGTAACCAGTCTGGTCTTACCGATTGGATGCCCGCACGCCATGGCTTTCGCGTTGCGGTTGCGTATTGCGTAGGCGGGAGCCCTGATTGACACAAGCTGGAGAAGTATAGGTTTCGCAACACTCGTGTGACTTCCAGTCGCTTCGAAAACTAATTAAATAAAAAATTAAAAAATAGAGCAAGCTTATTTTCTTCCTGGCTTTTTTCGATTTTAGCTTTTAAAAGAGAAATGCATATTTATTGACATCATACTTAATTATAGAGGTCTTATACCCAAAGCTGTCTGAAGAGGATTCACTGGTCTCACGCTTCCAAATCCGCCGTAACGACGTGGAGGTGGTCTACGACCTACTCCTGAGAATGGATTCGGCATATTGGCGAATACTTGCCTTTTAGCTCGCCTAAAACATATACTAGTGAGAGTCATGTCAGGTAAGGTTAGGTAAACTAACTCGATAGTTGAGCATTCTGCCAAGTAGAGGACAGAAATACACAAGAAAAGGCAGAGATGAATTTTCATGGCCGTGCAATGTGCCATCTCATCAGAACAGGAGCATTTTATAGCAAATCGGCAATTTCCATATTCGCCGAAAAGTTGTATAATTTTAAAGAAGACATTTCCAAAAAGAGGCTGGAAAAGTGGAAAACTTAGTGTGAATTTCCATGTATGACTTGTACGACCATCCAAGGGCACATGTGTTAAAAGTAATGGGTTCTGCCTATTAAGGCAATTATTGCGTCCTTGACTTTGAAGGTAAAAAGTCAAACGCAAGGACCAATAAGTCCTCTAAAATATTAGCTAGCAATTCAGCAATCAAGTAAGTGGTTGAATCATTTGAAAT